AAAAAAAAGAGGAAACAATTTGAAATACATATATATAAATATAGAAGTATATATACATGAATACATATAATTACTTCGAACATACCCAGCACTTGATTCACTTGTTGTCCGACTGTTGTTGTTGTTGTTGTTTGTGCTGTTGCGACTCTATGGAGTGGTTTATCTCGGCTGACTCGGCTGGCCCGAGCCAGATTCTTTATAGATGGAACACAATTCAATTTCGTTGCGGGCGCCATAAACTTGAGTTGACCGAAAAGCCAGCAATGCGAATGACATTCGCTGCACTATTTTCTATACCGCTTGGCTCTCAGTGGTTGCTGTTGTTGTTGTTGCTGTTGTTGTTGTTGTTGTTGTTGTTGTTATGCATTCCACTGCAATGGCAATGGCAATGGCCAAAACAGATTCTGTGCAGATTCCCTGGCCGAGACAAAAAACGCAGGCGGGTGGGCGCCGTTGGCCCCAGCGCGATGAACGTAAAGCATAATAAAAAGTCGTGCCTTACGTGCAGCAGCAAAAAGCCTACGCCTGCTACCCCCCCGCCCCTCTCTCCTACGCCCAGACAGCCTGTGTGCCCCCGCCCCTCTCTCTCTTTCTCTCTCTCTCGATGTCTGCAAYTGCAACAGGAACTCCCCCTCCCGGCCAATCGCTGCTCCTGCCCCTGCTCCTGCTCCATCTATTCTGAGCCAATCTCTGTGGCCTCTTGTTGTTGTCTGTCTTCTCTTTTCTTTTCTGAGTTTTGGGCCCGATAGAGTGGAAAACATTTTTGTGGCCGTGGCCAGCGCCGTTTGCCTATTTTATGAGCGTCTTAAGGGCACGCACGATTTTTGCGTTGCGCGTTTTAGTTTGCGGCCTGTGCGTTATGTGGCACTGATTACCGTTGCAGTTATTGTTGTTGTTGTTGTTGTTGTTGTTGCTGTTGCTGTTGCCTTACTGACTGACAGAGGTCAACGCTGGCTCTGACCATTTTTCCAGGCCACGGCGGCGCCCAATGGCTGCGCTAAAATTGAATTTAATTTATTTAAGCGGCGGCCACAGCGCTGCAAAGCACAAAACATCATAATGATCAACATCATAATCGAAAGATATCATCATCATCATCATCATGATCATCATGATCGACAGCAGCAGGCCTAACGATACAAATTTGCATCGCTTTTTATGAAAGTTTTACATTTTAATAACTTTTAATTCATTATTAAAATTCATTAAAAAACCGAATATAATTTCAAGTATGAGCTTGAGCTGAGCTTGAAGCTGAAGTTGAAATTGGAATTGAAGCTCAAGTTGGAGTTCGCATCGAGCTGGAGATTTCGAAGCGCTCAAGCCTGGACTTGAGACAGTTGCAGTTCATTAAATTGATTTGAAATTATCAGAAATTGTTGCCAATGGCAGCACGCGTAGCTAAATCAACAGAAGCCGCTCTGAATGTGTGTGTGAGTGTGAGTGTGAGTGTATATGAGAGCGGCAATCGAGTGGCGGCAGGAGGCAGAGAGCCCTAAGCATATGCCAAGGGCTGTGAGCCATGCTACAGCAGTTGGAGTCAGAAGAAGGAGCAGCAGGAGCAGCAGGAGCAGCAGGAGTTGTGCTCTACTACTACGTACAACAAATGTGAATTTAGTTGGCTCCAAAAACTGAAACTGCATGCAGCACACGAATGTGGCAAGTGCAACGCAGAGTCAGAGAACGCCAATGGGGAGCAGGCAAAGGGGGGGCTTATGGCAATGGAGGGGCATCGGAATGATCTGGGCATGGGGACAGTCATTTTGTTGCCGTTGGCTGTTGTTGTTGTTGTTGCTGTTGTTGTTGTTGTTACTGTTGCTGTTGCCTGGCATTGTTGGTCCTTGGAGCATTCTTGTAATCCTGTCAGAGCGCAAATACATGCATGTGTGTGTGTGTGTGTGTGTGTGTGTGAGTGTGCCGCGTAGCAGCTAGTCCTTGCATTTTATTTTCGTTTATCATTTATTTACTACTCAATTTTTCTAGTACTTTAGTCGCGCGGCTCCCTCGTTGGGGGCCCAGTTGATTTCGTATGCCAAGTAACGGCAGCTCAGCTCAGCTCGGCGCAGCGCAGCGCAGTTGTTGCTGTTGCTGTTGCTGTTGCAGCTGGTGCTGCAATGGCTATAGCTGCTGCTTTCTCTCACGCGACTTTATCCTTCAAATGTCCTTGCGTGCGTTACAATGCCGCCCGCACACTGCCGACCATTTTACGTGCAACGCTGCCGAGGCAGCTGTGGATTTTTATGGCTGCAGCGTCGCACGTCTACAGTCCCAGCAGCGAGCACACACAAAGAGTGAACCAAAGAGAGAGACAGAGAGAGGGAGTGAGTGAGTGAGGGAGAGTAAGGGAGAATGCCTTCATGCCCCTTGCAACATGCATTCGTGATGGCGCTGCCTCCTGCCTGCCTCCTGCCTGCCTGCCTGCCTTGTCGCCATTTTAATTTCGCCTGCTGCACAACGTCGAATTTTCTAATCTTGTGCGGACTACGGCTCCCCAGTTGCCGACTTGCCACTGCCATTCTGCCCAACCCAACAGCCGCCCAGTTGCATGCCCCTTATCCAAACGGCTCCTGCTGCTGCTGTTGCTGCTCCTGCTCCTGCTCCTGCTGCTGCTGCTTCTGCTTCTGGTTGTTGTTAATGTTGGCCGCAGCTTTTCGGCGCCGGGCAACAGCGTCCAGAGGTCGTTTAGAGGACTTCTTGCCGCAGGCCTCTGTGCGTTTCGGTCACCAACTTCCTATCTCCATCGCCCTATCGCACACCCACAGCGCCAAGGCATCCGTGTCCCGTGTTGTGCTGTCCTCTGCCCTGGCCGCCAAGATGGATGACGTGTCAGCTGGAATTGATGATGCCGAGCAAATGGCGGCCAACAAAATGGCGTTGCGACTGCAACGGCGCCAGCCCACACGGCGTATGAGTGACGCGAACGTGTACAATGCGCAACGTGCCACATGCAACGCTCGCCTTGCCTCGCCCTCTCCCCCTCCCTCTCCCCCTCCCCAGCTTCCCTGCCTGCCCTGCCCACCCTGAGCACCCAAGCCATCAATGCGGCACCAAAAACACACACAAAAGCCGCAGCTACCAAAGTGCAAAACTTCGCTCAGCTCGATTACTCGCACCGAATTTCGCAGGAAAACAGCAACAAGAGCCTCATTCCGGCTCGATATCGTCTTTGGCTATGAGCTATACGAATTTAAATGCAGTCGAGTATGTTTTAGGCATACATAATAGGTGAGAAATGAAGATGAAAATACGATAGATGAAGATACGATATTCCAGTTGAATATCTTCAATCTTCAATCAGCAATTCATAGAAGAAGACAACAAGAGATGCGATATTCTAGCTGAATATCTTCAATATATTCTATTTGTAATTTATAGTAAAAGACAATTAGTAATTTGGGTAACTTTTGGTATACCCGGATGGGTATAACGTATAAGTTTGCTCATAAAGGTTTGTCAGGGGACCAGAATTTTCGTCGCTATAACCGTGCAGACTCTATAAACGGAGTCGTCATAGCCGGATTCTACTGTATTTGTATTCTTAATCACAACAACGAGACAATGTAGTCCTGTGTATGGTAGAGGCGAGCCGTGTGGTCGCAGAGTCATGCCGGTAGAGTCGTACTAGGTCTGATTTCTGACAAAAGTGGAGAATTTGCTTTTATATGGCAATGGAAAACTACGTGTATTTTAAATGTAAAAGTGGGGTGTTTCGATTCGGGCTCTGGATATTTACTGAGCATTGATCAGTCTATCTTTCATTTTTGTTGAGCATTTTTATCAAGTTTGTCAATTTTATTTGAAATATKTTTAGTTTAATTTTATAGATATTTTATATTATTTTTTTATGCACATCAATTTATTTATATATATTTTTTTTATTTGATTTGCATTTTCTGTTTTGTTTATTCTTTGATTGAGCATTGATAGTTGGTTGCATTTTGTTGCCGTGATAGCCACAGCTGCTTGGCAGTGGCCATAATGCCCTTCACCCAAATGCCAACAACAAGAACGACAACAACAGCAACAACAACAACAATAAGAGTGAAGAGTAACCGGGCTTAGAGACATCTCGAATGCACTTACCGCCAGAATCCAATCACAAATTGCGAAAGTTGCGACGTTCAAGTCAATGCTGTCCGTTGCTGTTGTTGTTGTTGTTGCTGTTGCTGTTGGTGGTGGTGTTTATGTTGCTGTTGCTGTTGCTGTTGTCGTGGTCATGGCAGCGATAACATGCCGCAAGATTTGTTGTGCTTTGACCAGCGCTGGCAACGTCTTGCGTCTTGGAGAGTTAAGCTAGGCCGGGACTTGCTCTCGAATGCCCGCTGCAGTTGTTCTTTCCATTGTTGTTGTTGCTATTGTTGTTGCTGCTGTTGTTGTTGTTGTTGTCGTTCCCGTTGTTGGCTGCAGTATACTCAACATGGTGCCATTCTGCTGGAAGCCCCAGGTCCGCTCAAGTCTTCAATTCGGACTCCAATTGCAACGAGGACGTCGCAACATCGCAACGTCGACGCGCGGCTCATGTTGTGCGCGCGTTTCACTCAGCTGGTGAGATTTGTGCCACAAGACAAGTGCGACATGATGTTATGTGTCAACAGCTTAATTCGCAGCGCGAGTCGCCAGCTCGTTGCTGGAGATGAGCTGCAATCGCCTTTGCATGCACTTTGAGCATGTGCTCGCTGTTGTTGCCCGTTTGCCTTGTTGCCTGTTGCCCGTTTGCCTTGTTGCCTGTTGCCTGTTGCTGTTGCAACCTTGATTTCAATCTAAGCCAAACCAAATGCAACACTAACAACAACAACAGCAATCGAACAAACGCACTCTCTGTGTGTGCACACAGCCACTTTGGGCACTTTGGCCATTCAATTATTTATTATTTTGACTGCAGGCAACTGCGACTGCGACTGCCCCACCCCACTGCCTCTCTCTGCGAATCTCACCGGCGGACAGCACGCCACAGCGCGTCGCACTGCTGACCTGATCTGCTATTGCAGCAATTGGCAGCTGAGAGGTTTTTATTGTTGTTGACATTGCCATGGATTTCTCTAAAGCAATTAACTGGGGAAGAAGAAGAAGCAGAACTGAAATGCTGGTAAAATTTTAAAGAGTTTGAAAGAGAAATCTCAAATGTTTTTTCTATAATACAAGGAGATCGAATTATTTATTCTGGGAGGTCTGGGAAATCTTCTAATTTTAAACTAAATCCAATTGTATTCCTAAAAAAAAACTTGGGAACATTTATCAAAATAGGCCAGCTAGATAAAGTAATTAAAAATCTGTAGCAGCAGGAGTCTGATCTCAAAGCATATATATATTGTATATATGTATCTATATGAATATATATTGAATTGAATATAATTTGAAACACAGCTAGTCCTAGGAACTTCAAGGAAAGTATGCGTCAGCTCAGCTCTGACAGAACTATTTAAAAAGGCTCAAGACTCTTCTTCAATAAGATTAATATAAAGGCGGAATTTGTCTTTGAGTACATGGTGTATTCATATAAGCGGGTATATTAGCACTCTCAGCATGCCTTACATATACATCAACAGAACTTAAACAGAACCAAATCGGAGAGGGAAGCGAATGCAAGTGAAGGACTCTTTTATTTACTGTTATTCCCTACAGCGCAGACAGACGAAATTTAATTCAATATAAAAGGAAAGCTAAGGAATCTGAAATCTGTAAAGAACTTGTTAAATACGCTATATATACTGACTAAAAATATAGTCAACAATAATATGATTTCGACTACATTGCAGCTTCAATAGCAAGAAGAGATTTGCATATTAATAGACTTCTTCAGCTATTGAGCAAGTCTCTGAAATTTCTAGTTATAGACAAGACCTCAAATAGTTATTAGAGCTATAATCAATACTAATATTATTACTACAATTAATATGACTGTATGTAATATAGATTATTTACTTATATTTCAACAAATTGAGCTCAGTCGATTTTCAATATCATGCGAATTGAGTAATATCTTAAAGTCACATATAAGTCATATATATAAATATAGTCTCACCTTCACTATATTAACTGTTAACATATGTATGCTCGTACATGTTCAGCTACTTTGCGATTCGTAAGACTCGAGCTGAACATTCAGCGAATTGAGCCTAATTAGTTGAATGCTTTTTTCCCACGCCCACGCACAAGAGGCGGCGACGCGTCGCACTTGTCTGGCCGAGGCCCTGGCACTGATCAGAAATGATCTATGGGCCGAGGCGGCGAGCATCATGCAGCGCTGTGGCACCAAATTTGGCAGTGCCACAGCTGCAGTTGCATGCGCCGTCAACGTCGCCTTCGCCTTCACAGTTGCCTTTGCCTTTGCCTTTGCCGAGTGGAAATCAAAGCACGCTACTTGCGCCCAAAAGGTATTGAAAGCCGCACAGCAAACACTCAGAGAGCACTCGCGTCGTGGAGCCCTTGGCAGGAGGCAGGAGGCAGGAGGCAGGGGGCAGGTGGCAGGGGCCAGCGAGCAGGGATAGAGCCACAATAAAACTCATAAATCAAATAAGACAAAAGACTCGAGGCGAACGCAGGGCCCAGCACCAGGACATGTCTTTGGGACCACGAAAACGAAAGCTGCTGCTGCTGCTGCTGCTGCTGCATGGCGTGCGTTCATACGGGGAGCCAAAGGGGACTCCGCATGGCCCCAGATGCAAGGAGAGGCGGGAGATGGACCCAGGCGACACTGGGACAGACGCGGCGAAGCAACGCAATATTGAGCACGACCGCGAACAATGGGAGCAAATAACTGGCAGGCATTCGGCATGAGCCGAAGATGGAGCTGGAGACCGAGACGTAGACCGAGATGGAGACACAATCGGGTATGCTGGCCATGAGTGGAGCACCTTGTGACCACCGACCACCGTAGCAGTCACAAAGAGTACTCAACGATTTTCAAGGTAAGACAATAACACAAACAACAACAACAACTACAACAACAAGAAATACATCGAGTAAATGCACCGAAATGTGTCTAATGGATTAACATGACGAACTCTTGATGCACTTGACAATTGTTGGAGGCTGAGACGAGAAAGGGCCATAAGCTCACTCAGCTCTGAGATAAGTCAAGCACTCGTGAGCCTCTCTGCTATTGAGATACACACGTGAGGGCGAAGATCGAGCTTTATAAGCTCATTAAAGCTGTTTTAGAGATGGCATCGGAAACTCTTGAAGCTGTCTCAAAGTTCATCCAGTTAAAGCTCATTGAGTGGAATAAAGCCCAATGATCATCTCATTAGCTTTAACATGAGATGAATCTCTATTAGCTTTGCATTCAACTTTCGCAGCTGTCTTTCTCTTTCTATAAATACTCCTCCTCTTCCTGTCGCTTGGCTATATCTATCTTTATCGTACACCCCCTTCTTCGCTCTCATTCGTTCTCTGTAATTATTTCTTTTTCGCCATTTATCTCTATCTCTGGTTTTTGTTTTTCTCCGGAGCTAACACTTGTTATCTTTGTCAATCTGCTTCTTACACTGTCACTCTTTAGCCTCTCTCTCTCTCTCTCTCTCTCTCCCTATCCATAGCTCTCCTAGTTGCTATGTTTATATACACATATATGTAGGCATTAATACCTCTCTATTTCTTTATATATCTCTTTCATTCTTTTTCTGTTTTTTCGCTCTCCTATCGGCCTCTTTCTCTCTCTCTGCCTCTCTCTCTCTCTCTCTATTTACATGTTGCTTTTTTCCTTTACCTTAATTTCTCTCTTTCTCTCTCTATCTGTTACTTTCTCCCTCTATCTATATATCAATCTATCTTTCTCAATTTATCTCTTACTCTCCTATAAAATTGGTCTTTCTCACTGTCTCACTCTTTGTCTCCTTCTCTCTCCATCTCACTCTTTCTCTATCTCTCTTTCTATATCTCCTCACCTCTCATCATCACTTATTTCCGTTTCTCGTCATCGAATTCCCACCTCTTTCCCCAAGCAATTCTCTTCGTCGTAAATCTTCTCAAATTCAATAATTTGGATTGCTTTGCCCCTCCTGGTCACGTTGCAAACCCGCTGACAATTTCATGTTGCTCTCTGTTGCAATGCAGTCTCAGATGCTGCAATAGTCACCAAAATGATCCGCAAGTGTCGCCAGTTGCAAGTTGCCAACTGCAGCTGAGTCTACAGCAACAACAACAACAACAACAACAGCAGCATCTGCTGTGGCACTGCAGCGAGCACCAACTGGAGCGAAGATGAATTTCCAGCGTATTGCGTTGTTATTTTGGTCATGAGATCGTCTTCGGAGTCAGCCTCGTTGTCGTCATCAGCGTCAGCCGGCTGGCTGGGCCGGCGCACAAATATCTCGCCAGCCTCGCTGGATAGGCCAACCGGCTAGATAGATATATATATACCTATGTATGTATATATATTTTTGGGCGCTTCGTTACACAAAATCACGAACCAAATCGTGCACGACTATTTTGCGTGAGTTGAGCGCATGATCAGCTGCAACTGCAACTGCAACGGCAACGGCAGCAGGCATGGCGAGGGGGGGCGTAGAGTTGTGTGTGCGGGTGGAAGGG